TCAAAGCAAGATGTGTACGTAATATTTTCTATAAAGTGGATAGACACGTATTCAACCGCTGTGCATGATGGCAGATAGACTGATTCGGGTCTTTCTGTGTGCTACGCTCTACAACAGCAACAATTTTTTCTGTAAGCACTGTACATGTCTGTGGATCTATACTATCATTTGGAGAGTACGTGGTACAAAAACGTTCCATGGTTAATCGAATTACTTGCTCTGATGGACTATTATGTCGACCATAAAATGGACGTAATGCGCGATACATATTTCGAACAAAACCACAAATTCTAATGTATATTTATATAATTTATAAGCGTTGTTCAGGCGTCAAGTCTATTCATGCTGAAATTCCAAACCAAACTTAACATAAATCACTTGACAGCTGTGAAAATGGCTGACAGTTTAAACAGTGTTCCCAACTTACATTTCTATACCTTTAAAAAACACCCTTTATGTCCCAAACATTGAAGTCTTTTTACTTTGGTGGTAAACAATAATTAATTGTTTTATTTATTTTGTCATTTTATATAAAATCAATGTCAAGAAGACGAAATTTATGAGAATATCAAAAACTCAAAGAAATAACGTAAGGGAGACAAAACCAAGTGCTCTAACTATAGAGGCATCTCCCTACTTAATACTTCGTACAAAATCTTATCGAACATCCTTTTAAGTAGACTAAACACCTTTTGTAGAAAATTTCATAAGGGAATACCAAGCCGGATTCAGAAAAAATAGATCGACCATAGATCAGATTTTTACTCTCAGGCAGCTGCTTGAAAAAGGATGGGAATTCAATAGGACCATTCATAATCTCTTCATAGATTTCCGACAAGCATACGACAGCATTAAAAGGGATCAGATGTGGAATGCAATGGCTGGCATATCTAGAGTGCGGATAGGTAACAAGCTCTCAGAGTCGTTTGAAATAAACAGTGGACTAAAACAAGGAGACGCGCTGTCAGCTCTTCTTTTTAATATAATCCTGGAAAAAGTAGTAAGAACCGCACAAATAAGAACAGAACTACTGACAGTAAATGGACCAAAATTATTACTAGCATACGCGGATGACATTGACATTGTAGGAAATACCGTCACCAATGTAAAAGAAACCTTCAATAAATTAGAGAGAGAGGCAAAAAATACCGGTTTAAGGGTCAATGAAGAGAAAACCAAATATATGTGTATTAACAGACAAAAGAGAGGAGATAGAATAGGACAAAATGTAACAATAGACCCCTATAACTTTGAAAGAGTGGAGAGTTTTAAATATCTCGGAGCGACTATCACCACAGATAACGATATCACGGAAGAGATAAAAGGGAGAATTCAGGCAGCAAACAGATGTATGTATAGCCTACAAATACTATTAAATCCAAGAGCCTAACACGAACATCAAAAATCAGGATATATAAAACAGTAATTAGACCGGTGCTCATGTATGGGTGTGAGACGTGAGACGCTGACAAAAGCAATGGAAAGTAAACTCAGATGCTTTGAGAGAAAAATCCTCAGAAAGATCTTCGGTCCCTATCACGATCCGAATACTAACCAATACCGAATGAGAACAAAATGCCGAGGTCAAACAAATGTATAGTGCTAGCGACGTAGTCCAAGAGATTAAATCCCAACGTCTAAGATAGGCTGGCCATGTTCATAGTCTCCCTAATAACCGCCTTACCAAGTTAATCTGGGAAGAAGTCCCGACAGGGAGGAGGCCCTTAGGACGTGCACGAATGCAATGGAGAGATAATATATGGTCAGATTTGAGAACAATGGGGCTACCCACTGACTTAAACATCATGGACGACCGTTCGAAATGGAAGCAGGTTGTGCAGTCAGTCAAGACCCACCCCGGGTTGTAGTGCTACCAGAAGAAGAAAGAAATAACGAGAATCTTCTAATAAACGGAACCAACGTCGACCAAGTGGACCAATATGCATATTTGGGAACAATGATTAACTCACAAATGATTACATTCAGGAGATCAAAATTAGAATAGAGCAAACTTCAACAAAATGAGAAGAGTGCTATGTACCAGGGATTTAAAACTGGAACTAAAAGTTAGGTTGGCGAGGTGCTATGTTTTTTCGACTTTATTTTATGGAATGGAATCTTGGACCTTGAATGCGACATCAATTGAAAAACTAAAAATCATTCTAGCTGTATGTGTACAGAAGAATTCTGAAAATATCGTGGACAGAAACAGGTCACCAACAAAGAGGTTCAGGAAAGGATGAATAAAGAAATGGAAATTTTAAATACAATAAAAACAAGAAAATTAGAATATCTCGGACATATTACACGTGGAGAGAAATACACCTTACTCCAACTGATTATGCAGGGAAATATCCAAGGAAAGAGACGCATAGGGAGGCGTAGAATGTCATGGCTGCGCAACCTGAGAGAGTGGTACGGATGTACATCACATGAACTTTTCAGAGCAGCGTCTCGAAAGTCCGAATAGCTATGATGATTGCCGACCTCCGCCGCGGAGATGGCATTTGAAGAAGAAGAAGTTTATTTTGTGCATAACTTCTCCATTGCTTACTAAGATCTGTTCAAGATACATATTTTAAAAATTATTGGGTATGTCAGGAATATTTACTTTACTTTCGGAATAGTCATAAAACAAGGATGGTTATAAGACACATCCCTATTGTTATGTATTTAATGAGGCACCGACTATTGTACAAAACTATTTATTAAAAAATACAGTTGTTACAAACATACATTATGGATGGCTCCGTAGACCCACGGCGTTCCATCACCTAACCTCACTATCGACCCCTAGTCTTTTCCACAGTGTCTCTTATTCCGCTGCCGGACTCATATATAACCTCTCCTCCCTCGTTAGAGATCAAGTTTAATGGGAGCTTTTACTAGTCTTCCAGAGCGCGTTCTAATATTGCAATCATCTGATGTTTCATCACTCGGTATAGATGTGTTTGTTTCTTCTTGTGATGCACTTGGAATGGGCTCCTTCGGTTTTAATTGAATAGGCTCGTTTTTCAAATTTGGACTCACTGGGATTTCAATTGTAACACTGTCACGTAACACTGGCACATCATCACTCACTATAGGAGGTTTTCTACATACTAGATAAGTACAGTAACTTAAAATTTTCATAATCTTTCCTTTCTGCCATAATTTTGTTTGTTTGTTTTTAATATAGACACTTTCATTTAGTTTATACCATGTATGCCCATTTTTAATTGGGATAGATGCATCCTTACTATTATAACAAGAAGGTTTCAACATATTTAATCTAGTTCTAGGACGCACTTTAAAAATACTTTCACTTGGAGAAATCCCTGTAGCTGTTGTAGGAGTTGTTCTATAAGAGAATAAAAAGTTTTGAATTTTCTGAATAACCAATCGTTTATTAATCTCCTCTCTCTTAATAGTCAACAGGGCTTTTTCCAAAATTTTCTTTACTATTTGAACACTACGCTCCGCAGCACCATTACTTTGAGGGTGATATGGAGGTGTCTTAAATGGTTTAATTCCATTTGCTTAACAAAATGCCACAAATTTACTGGAATTGAAAGGAGGTCCATTGTCTGAGACTAATTCGACAGGAAGACCAATTACAATAAACATATCTCTTAATTTTGATATAGTTTCTGATGTCCTCTGTATGAATATCTTTCTAAAATCTTTCTAAAATAACAATAGGTAATTTTATAGTATTGTTTTTATATTTTACTAATACATCAGTTTCTCCCACAATTTTTACTACCTCGTCAGTTAATACCTTTAAACAATACTTAACAGAATAAATATTTAAAGCTGATAAAAACTTTTTAAAGTCCTTTATATGAATTACTGTACGACATGCACCTGTTACAATGTCAAATAAAATTGAATTACCTTCTACTTCTAATACTATTTTCTCTGGAGCTGAATTTTCAGGTTCCAATGAAGACAAGAAACCTAGAAATAATGAATTTTCCTCCTCAATTTCATCCTGTATATCATCTTCTTCTAACAAACTAACTTTCGAACGACATACTGCACTTGTATGTCCCACTTTCTTACAACTGAAACATTGCCATGCTTTGGCTGGACATTTTGATGAGTCATGTTTTCTACCACATCTAAAGCATGACTTAGGTTGGACATTACTTCTACCAGTTTGATGGCCATCATCTTTCTTCACTGTAGCTTCCCTCTTTCTGAACATTACTTTATCTAACTTCCCTTCTATTGCCGCTACATTTTCCTGTTCCATCCTTCTAACTTGACCTTCTGTAAGTTCTATTGACAAGGCTATCTCATAAGCTCTTTCAAAGGAAATGTTGTCTTCTGCCAGGAGTTTACGTCTTATTTGGACTGATCGTACACCACATACAAACCTGTCTCTGAGACATTCTTTCAAAAATTGCCCAAATTTACAATATTGAGCAACACTTTTCAGTTTTGACACAAAACTTTTAATATCCTCCTGAGGCTCTTGATTTGTATTGTAAAATTTATACCTTTTAGCGATAACTAACCACTTTGGACTATAATGTTCAATCAGAACTCTTTTTAACTCCTCAAATGTTTTTGAACTTGGTACCTCTGGTGCTAATAAGTCTTTTAAGACACTGTAAGTCTCTCCGCCAATTAAAGAAATCAATAATGGAACTTCCTTGTCTTTTTCCACTACATTACATATAAACAACTGCTCAAGTCTCTCTATATAAGAGGTGATATCACTTTTCGCAGGATTGAACTGCTCAATGTATCCAATTAACGACATTTTTCGACTTTTGCGTGGATTCTTTCTGTGACTCGTCGCCAAATATGTTATGTATTTAATGAGGCACCGATTATTGTACAAAACTATTTATTAAAAGATACAGTGGTTACAAACATACATTATGGATGGCTCCGTAGACCCACGGCGTTCCATCACCTAACCTCACTATCGACCCCTAGTCTTTTCCACAGTGTCTCTTATTCCGCTGCCGGACTCATATATAACACCTATGTAACACTTTATTGATTTTAATTTTTTCTTATTCTATTAGTTATTTAGTTATTAGTATTCTATATCTTTTGAGTAAATATTTCTATTTTTTAAGAGTCTAACGTTAAGTAGCATATAAGTAACTGGTAGTGTTGTTTAAAGTAGGTTCACAGTTTTGATTTATACATTTTATAAACATCAAAAGGGAAATCGTGGCATTATAAAACTATTTTTTTTAATTATCATCATCATCATCCACCCTTCTGCGTCCAAAGTTGGATATAGGCCTCCCCTAATTTCTTCCAGTTATTTCCGTCTTGAGCCATTTGCAGCCAATTCCCAGCGATTCTTTCAGCTTTCTCTGTCAGCTCGTGATATCCACACTGTCTCCACATAATTTTTTTGTCCACCATCCGTCATTAATTCTGGCCACATGACCAGCCCAGTTCCACTTCAGCCATACTATACGTTCTATGACATCTGTGACGCCTGTTGTTCTTCTTATTTCTACGTTCCTAATTCTGTCTCTGAGAGTCAATCCAAGAAGCGAGCGTTCCATTCGCCTTTGGGCTACTCCGAGTTTGGTTGCTGTAGCCTGGGTTAAGGAAAGTGTTTGGACACCGCAAATCATGACTGGAAGTACTAGGGGTGTGTGGAAGCACACATTGGTCGAACGTCTTCTTTTTCAAATAATTTGGCATATTGCTCTTAAAGATGTCTGATAGAGCTCCATATACAGTCCATGCGTTGTCCCTAGTAATTTGGATTCCATGACCTAAGTATTATATTTATAAATAAATCTTATTTCGTTGCAGTCGACTTTTGGATTCTCGCTTGATGTCAGATTTGTCATGCATTATGTGTTTAAAAAATTTATGTCAAACTAACTTCGTTACAGGCGGCATCTAACTCAGTAAGGATAGTTCCAATCTCTTTTAAGTTATCTGTTATAAGAAAAATGTCCGCAAATCGTAGATGTGAGAGCATTTCGCCGTCGACATTGATTCCTTTGACTTTCGTTGGCTCATGCTTTCAAAAATTTGAATTGGGATGCCAAAGGAATTTTTTATTATACTAAACACGTATTCATGAGATTTAGGTGAAATTTTAAAATTTTGTTTATGCTATTGTTATATTATATTATATTTTAGGGGATGTCATGTAAAACCGCACGCCAAAAGTAAATGGGACAGCTCTAACTATTTAGTTATACCACCATTGCCTACTACTCTTGTACATATATGTCGATTGGTGCAAATCTACTATTTACTAACTGTAAGTATATTTAATTTTTACGAATATTATTCTATCTATAACCACAAAAGAAGAACAGGAGTCACAGATGCAGTCAAAAAAATAGCCATTTATAAATGGGTTTGGGCCGGACATGTTGCCAGATTATCATATGATAGATGGACCAGAAAGATTCTGGAATGGCGACCAAGCCAAGATGCACATCGAAGCAAAGGACGACCACCGACTAGATGGACGGATGATATCAAGCGCATCACCACAAACTGGATGCAAGAAGCTCAAGATAGAAATAGGTGGAAAATTTTACGGGAGGCCTACGTTGAGCAGTGGACAAATATAGGCTAATTTATGATGATGATGATAACCACAAAAAAAGGTTTTTATCCCACCCATTCGTATCGACCGAGTTACTGACCTTAGAATCTAGCAAAGCATCTTGCATTGGTTGAATCGTACGATAATAATCTTATACCATACCTAGTGGTCTAGATTGTGATGAATTAATCGTAGAACACAGGTACACGATAGACTCGAACGGACCTATCATTTATATTCAATGTGATTAAAATTCTAAATATCACCAAATTGTAGAAATATCCAGGTAAAATATTCAAATAAAGTAAATAAATATCGAAAACTTTGTTTTCAAACTTCCACAAAAATGTATTTTAACTCTTATCACTACAGCTGTTTCGGCTGATAGCCTTTCTCAAGTGATCTATTTTTGGCATACGTTTACACTTTATAGTCTCTAATGAAATAGGTTGAGGAGGGGAGAACTGTTTGTCTCGAGTTGGTCATTCAGAATTATATATGTGTTTTTGTTGATTTCCATAGATTCTAACAAGGATAGCTTAAGGCCTTTATTTTGAATGTGAAGAATTTTAAATTCGTCGTTAAAATAATGATTGTGATCTAGAAGGTGAAGTGCATAATGTAGAATCTGTTTTTCTATTATTGAAAGCCCTTTTATGTTCTGCTATTCGTTTGTTAAAGTTTCTACCAGTTTGACCGATGTAAGTTTTTGGGCAGTGGCCAAATTTAAATTTGTACACACCACTGTGTAAGTGTTTTTCATTTTGACTCTTATTTTTTTTTTAATATATTTGCCTAGGTTGTTATTTAGTCGAAAAGCTGGTGTTATTCCCTTGTTTTTTATGTGTTTGGCTATTTTTGTTGTAATTTTGCGTGTATATGTAATCGAACAGAAGGTACTGGGTTTTTTCTCTGGTGGTGCAAATACTAATTTCAGGGCTTTCTTGTGTAGTTTATATTTAACATTTTATTAATTGTTTGTTCGTTGTATCCGTTGTTTACTGCTATTTGCTTAATTATATTTAATTCTGTTTCAAAGTTGTATTTTGACATCGGAATTTCTGTTAATCTATGTAACATACTATGATATACTGCCAGTTTATGTTGTGTTGGATAGGATGATGAATTGTGTATAGTCGTGTCAGTATGGGTAGATTTGTGAAATATGGAGAAGTCATGTTTGTTTTTAAGTCTAAAAAATTTATAGATTGATTTTGTTCTGTTTCTATTGTAAATTCCGTATTGTATATTTTTATACTGCTCCGTCATATAAACTTTCAAAAAAACTGTTTATGAGATTATTTTAGAACACACTAAATTTTCACCTAAATTTACCATAAAAAATACAATAGAACTAGTTAATAAAATACAACATTTTCAATTACCTAACAACTCCAGATTAATTTCATTTGTAAAAAATCTTTTTCCTAGTATCCCTCTTACAGAAACTTTTATTCTAGTAAAAAACCTTTTAGACCAAAATAGTACAAATCCAATAATTACATCTGAAATTTTACATCTTCTTGAAGTTTGCATAAACCAGGACTAATTTGAATTTAATAATCAAATATATACAAATATCAGTGCAGGACTTATAATGGGCAATCCTCTAAGCCCATTGCTATCAGATATTTTTATGGATCATCTAGAGACAAAAATTTCAAAACATCCCGTATTTAAACAGTTTTTATATTGGTGGAGATACGTAGACGACGTACTAATATGTTTCACAGGAACTAACGGGCAACTCGACCAATTTTTATCGTATATTAATTCGCTTCATAGTCATATTGAATTTACAATAGAAACAGAACAAAATCAATCTATACATTTTTTAGATTTAAAAATTATCAGATTTAAAAACAAATATGACTTCTCCATATTTCACAAACTACCCATACTGGCACGACTATACACAATTCATCATCCCATCCAACACAACATAAACTGGCAGCATATCATAGTATGTTACATAGATTAACAGAAATTCCGATGTCAAAATACAACTTTGAGACAGAATTAAATATAATTAAGCAAATAGCAGTAAACAACGGATACAATGAACAAACAATTAATAAAATGTTTAAACAAGAAAGCCCTGAAATTAGTATTTCCACCACCAGAGAAAAAAACCAGTACCTTCTGTTCGATTACAAATACAGGCAAAATTACAACAAAAATAGCCAAACACATAAAAAAGAAAGGAATAACACCAGCTTTCCGAACAAATAACAACTTAGGCAAATATATCAAAAACACAAGAGCCAAAATAAAAAATACTTACACAGTGGTATGTACAAACTTAAATGTGGCGACTGCCCAAAAACTTACATCGGTCAAACTGGTAGAAAATTTAACAAACGAATAGCAGAACATAAAAGGGCTTTCAATAATAGAAAAACAGATTCTACATACGCACTTCACATTCTAGATCACAATCATTCTTTTTAACGACGAATTTAAAATTCTTCACATTCAAAATAAAGGCCTTAAGCTATCCTTGTGAGAATCTATGGAAATCAACAAATTAAAAAACACAGATATAATTCTGAATGACCAACTCAAGATAAACAGTTCTCCCCTCCTCAACCTATTTCATTAGAGACTATAAAGTGTAAACACATGCCAAAAATAGATCACTTGAGAAAGGCAATCAGCCGAAACAGCTGTAGTGATAAGACTTAAAATAAATTTTGTGGAAGTTTGAAAACAAAGTTTTCAGTGTTTTATTGTTACATAAAATGAATTTCCATCAAGTAACAGTCAAATCCATCAATTAAATAAATATCATATGAAACATATCACATACTGATAAAAGTTATTATCGTAATACATGAGAGATGTCTTATTGATCTCGTTTAGTTAACTGAGTTGGAAAAATAGTCTAGAGAACCGCCTACTGTTCCACTTTTTTGTATCGGACAATTATGTATACCAAAAAAACAGTAATTTCATAAAAAGTGATCCCTACGTTTACTCTCTTGGAATGCTTTAAAGCATATGCTCTTCCATTTCTTTTGCCAAATGTTTTTTAGCACTGTCTACACATTTTTCTTGTATTTCCTTCAGAAAAGTTATGGTTTGATATATACATTTACTACTCCTGTGTTCGTTAAAAGTTTTGTACTGACTTTCAGATATATACCACTTAATTCATCAACGGACTGCTGAGGAATATGATGCCATTCGATCGAAGACATCAATAATAATAAATGATTTGATACTATTGTATTCTACAATCCGACAATGTTTTTATACCATTTCTTTTCTTGTTTTTACAGTGATCATTTCTGTCTGTTGTGTGCTCTATCTATACAGCCCTTAAAATCCATCCTTGGATATAGGCCTCCTCCTCCTTCTTCCATGCCTCTCTATCTTGGGCAATTTGCATCCATTTTGACCCGGCGTGTTTCTTCAGGTCATCTGACCATCGCATTTGTGGCCTTCCCCTTTTACGTTTGTGATTCCATGGTCTCCAATGTATAATTGTTTTAGTCCATCTTTCATCTTTCTGCCTTAGGGTGTGTCCGGCGAACTTCCATTTAAGCTTTGCTATTGGGTTGAGACATCTTTCACTTTTGTTTTATTACGGATCCATTCGTTTCTTTTTTTGTCTGATAGTTTAATGTTCAGCATTTGTCTTTCCATGGATCTTTCTGTCTTTGCTATTTTATCCATATTTTCCTTTGTAAACGTCCATGTCTGAGAGCCATATGTGAGGACAGGGAGTATACATTGATTGAAGACTCTCGTTTTTAAGTATTGGGGGTATTTTGAATTCTTTAGAATATAAGACAGTTTTCCGAATGATGCCCAGGCCAATCTTATTCTTCTCTTTATTTCTTCGGTCTGATTTTCTTTATTTAATTTAGTGATTTGGCCTAGATATATATACTCTTTTACTTGTTCTATTTTTGTTTGTGCCACTGTAATCATAAGTTCTTCTGGTTGATTAGTCATGGTTTTTGTTTTACTATAATTCATCTTGAGTCCAATTTTTGTCGATTCTCTATCTAGTTCTTCCATCATTCTTTGCAATTCTTCACTTTTTTCTGTTATTAATACAATATCATCAGCATATCGTAAATGATTCAGATTTTGCCCGTTTATATTAATTCCCAAGTCATCCCAGTGTAGTCGTTTAAAAACATCTTCTAGCGCTTGGTTAAATAACTTGGGCGATATGGTATCTCCTTGTCTTACTCCTCGGTTTATTTTAATAGGCTCCGTTTGTTTCATTAGCTTAATAGTTGTTGTTGCCTTGTTGTATATATTTGTAATTAAGTCGGTATATCGGTAGTCTATTCTGCTGTTTTGTAGGGAATTCTGTACTGCCCAGTGTTCCACACTATCAAATGCCTTCTCAAAGTCAATAAATGCCATGTACAGCGGGATATGATATTCGTTAGTTTTTTCGATTAAAATCTTCATCGTTAAAAGGTGGTCACTTGTACTGAAGCTCTTTCTAAATCCGGCTTGTTCTCTTGCCTGGTATCCATCTAATTTAGTTGTTAATCTATTTGTTAATATTTTTGTTAATAGTTTGTACATCACATTTAATAAAGTTATGGGTCTGTAATTCTTTAGATCCTTTTTATCTCCTTTCTTAAATAATAACAGTGTTATTGCTTCGATCCAACTGTTGGGTATTTGTTTTGTCATTAAAATTTTATTCATAAGTATGTACAAAACTTCTCTAGTTGTTTTCCCACCATGTTTTAGCATTTCTACAGTCACCCCGTCTTTTCCTGGCGATTTATTGTTCTTCATCTCTTTGAGTGCTCTTCTTATCTCGTTCTTACTGATCTCTGGTTGTAAGTCGGAATTAACATTTTTTATTTTTATTTGTAGTTGCTTAAGGATTTCTTGGGTTGGTTTCTGTTTTGTATTGTAAAGGTTTTTATAATATTCTTGTGTTATCTGTATAATTTCTTCTACATTATTGGTCTCTGTACCTTCTTTGTTCTTTATACTATTAATTTGTATGGTTCCAAGCTGTGGTTTTAAGCACTTCATGTTTTTATTTTGTTCAATTGCTTTTTCTATTTTTTCTTCCTGTACTCTCCTTTTATAATCCTTGATATTCCTTCTGATAGCTTTGTTTACCTCTTTGTAATCTACTGTGTTTCTCTTATCTTGTTCCAGTATTGGTTGTGTGCTACCTTAGTAATATTCTGTTTTGTCACTTATTCCCTTTTTTAGTTTTACTTTTCTTACAGGATTCCGACTATGTCTCCTTTTTGATATGAGTGTTCTTAGTAAATGCGTCTTGCAAATTTACCCTAGTGTAGAAATTATCAGTGCATATAGTTCTTCTCAAGTTTAGTAGAGGTTTCATAAGTTCTATTACTACTTGAGTCCCCAAAGATGTAATTCGTCTCACATTTTCTTTTCCCGTTTAAGTTTTTTATATTTTACTTATATCTTTTACACGCAGTTTAAATAATTTAATTCCATATTTGTGGCGTTTTTCTGGAATTTGTTTCCTAAAACTTAACCAGCCCCAAAACGAAATCATAGTTTCATCCTTACAGATTTTTTTTATAAAAAGTGGACAGTCATTTAAAAAATATTTGCTCTATTTGTTTCGTCACAAATTTTACATTAAGGGGGATTATTTCTGGTAAATAATAAATAAAAGATTAAGGTTTACTTTTCAGATATAAATATTCATGTATCTGCAATCAGACACCATTCTCAATGTTTTAAATTACCTATTTCTTTCAGGTGTATCTTGACACAGACAAGGACTACAACATACTACAAGTTAGCTGCCCAATAACGATAGGTACAGTGCCATTTAGGATTCCTAACTCGAATAAAACACAAGTCATCAAATACGGTAACAAAACTTTTTATTATTGCCATTTTTAAGATACTAACCATATTTGGTTTTCAGAAAATGCTTGTCCTGTGGTGGAAGGTGGTATGTACTTAGCGCCAGAATTTTTATTGGGACAAGTGTATGATGGGAATGAACATCATCTGAAGTGAGTAAAATCTTTTGAACTGCATCTTTGTATTTACTTCTTGTACAAATCTTCTACTTACTTCTTTCTCTTTCAATTTATCTACGTCCCATTTTCTCTGTGTTTTTCGCCTTTTATATTTTTTTTTAAATATAAAAGCAAAATTATATTAATAATCAAACTTATTTTGTTTTTTAATTATTTTGCAGAATGTATTTGAAACATTCTTTGGTGAAAAATCTCATTTTAGTAATAACTTGATGGTATAATTAGAACTCAGACATACTGAATCTATTACTTCTGGATAATTTTTTTTTTAAATCGACACGTCCTTACCTAAATGTATACCAATTTAAAAAATAAAAAATAACTTTAACACTTTGACTGCCATGTGTATATCTGAATATACAGAGTGGCTGAGTTCAAACCGCCCGCCACGTGTATAGATTATTCCACGAATATACGACTGTTTTGGATTATTACGACAACGAATATTTTACTGTGCAAGTAGAAGTATGAAAGTAAATTGGTCTAAACAGTATTCCAATAAAATGGATTTACTGTTTGTTTGACACACTAAAATTTTATTGTGAAATTTAATCTGAAAATAACAAAAATTTTTACGCAAACGGTCCTACCAATAAATACAATGAGTTCTATGAAGCCAAAATGTGTTCATAAGACATTTGGGTTGGGTTTCCGTGAAATGTAAACACCAAAGAGGCGTGCTGGGTTTCTTTGATATCACACTTTTATTACTATATTAGGTACTACAACTGTAATAAAAAGAAATATACTTTTAATATAAATGAAAAGAAATTGGCAGAACGATGGTTTGGAAACCAGAAAAAGGATCTATAATTTCACTTTGTTAGTTTTAAATATTTGTTTGATTTGAGTGGATGTACTGGATAAGGAAAAACAGAAACTAATTAAACAAAAAATAAAGGTGGCTTAAGAAAAATGGATGGAGGATAAATGCAAGGAATTAGAAAAGTTGAATGAAAAACATGATACGTTTAATATGTTTAAAAAAGTTAGAGAAGTAGCTGGTCTTTATCATAAGAAAACTCCACATACTATAACCGATTCGTCGGGAAAAAATGATAATAGACGAACATGAAATTCGAACAACCTGGTGTAATTATATAAGTGAACTGTATAATGATGATAGACCCGAAGAACCGGAGACTTTAGTTGAAGCTGAAGGACCAGAAATACTAAAATCAGAAATACTGCATGCTATAAAGTTAGCAAAGAACAAGAAGGCCGTTGGCCCTGATAACATACCGACAGAGATGTTAAAGCTTATAAATGAGGAGAACATTGGAATACTGGTCAAACTTTTCAATGATGTTTATTCGACTGGTGATATTACTGAAGATTGGTTAAAGTCCGAATTTATAACACTACCAAAAAAACAACGTCCGAAAAACTGTAGCGATTATAGAATGATAAGCCTTATAGCCACACTTTGAAAATACTTCTACGCATCATCCACAGTAGAATCAGAGATAAATGTGAACACAATTTGGCTTCAGAAATGGACTGGGAACTCGGGACGCCCTCTTTGCACTAAATATATTACTGCAGAAATGTCGAGATCAAAGGAAAGACGTCTTTGCTGTATTTATTGACTATGAAAAGGCCTTTGATCGAGTACAGCATCACAAATTAATTACAATATTAAAAGATAAAGGAGTTGATAGTCAAGACATACGATTCATAGAAAAGTTATACTGGCGTCAAACATCGACAGCTTGCATAAACGGAAAATTAACAGAAATATGTAAAATATAAAGAGGTGTCAGACAGGGTTGTATACTATCCCCACTGTTATTTAATTTATATTCAGATAGAATATTTAAAGAAGCGCTGCATAATTTGGAATGGGGCGTGAAAGTTAATGGAATTCTGATAAATACAATGAGATATGCAGACGATACAGTTATTTTACGTGATGACATGAATGGATTACAATGCCTTACAAAGTGCAAACATAAACTGTTCAAAAACAAAACACATGGTGTTTAGCCGTTTAGCACATCAAGATGCACGATTATATGTTGATGGTCATATAATTCAAAGAGTGTCCAGTTTTAAATATCTTGGTTGCCATATTACTGAACAACTAGATCCAGATTAAGAGATAAAATGTAGAATCGAGATAGCCCGCACGACATTTTTAAAAATGAGGTCATTCTTCTGTAATGATAACTTGCAACTTCAACTTAGAAAGTGCATGATTAAAAGCTACATTTGGTCAGTCTTCTTATACGGTTTCAAAGCATGGACATTAAAATATCCACCATTAATCGTCTGGAGGCCTTTGAAATGTGGCTGCACAGACGTATACTAAAAATTCCATGGACAGCTATGCTGACAAATGTGGCAGTCCTTGAGAGAGCAAATGCTGCTCGCGAGCTGCTTGATAACATCAAATGTAGACAGATGGCCTATTTTGGACACGTAGTAAGGTTATACCGATATAATATTCTTCAACTTATTAGGATGGGTAAAATCGAAGGACGCAGAGAAATTGGTTGAAAGCAGGTCTCTTGGTTGAAGAATATCAGGCAGTGGACAGGAATAAGGAAAGCTGAGCAACTCTTTAGAATAGCTCGAGACAGAGACAGTTTCGCCATGTTAATCGCCAACGTCAAGGGGACTTGAAAAGGCACGTTAAGAAGAAGGACTTCTTCTGTTAACCCTATATTTTCTTCAAAATTAAAATTTCTCATATCGCCAAATACTAATCCCCAATCAGCACCTGTATTTTCTTCTTTCCCTGAAGAATGAGTCACTGACTAATAGCTATCTAAAACAAAAAAAACAAAATGTAACAGCATGTCAATAGAATATATAAATTTGCAAAAAAATTTTGTTAAAATCCTTTATAAAAGGTATATAAAAATAAAAATGCCTCAAACGGGCTATCACAAACACATTGCAAAAACGTTTTCGGACTAAACAATCCATCATCAGTGCAAACGGTTGTACATGCTAGTAGCCACCAAAAATATATGGGTAAAAACCCTTTAAATGTTATAAATTTTAAATTGTTTTACATTATTAGTATTTCTAATTTGTGATGGTTAAGTTACCGTTGGATAGGTAACATGGCGGCGTATGACTCTACATGAGTAAAATGGTCCTGAGACGAAGTGCCTACGAGGACCTGTTGATAACAAATGTTGGATCAGAAATAATGCCAAAAGTAACAATTTCAGAGGAAACTACAGCATTGGAAAACATGAAGAGAAATAAAGCTGCAGGAGAAGATAGTATTACCACAGATATGATATTAGAAGGAGGTAAGGAACTAATTATATAATAACCAAATAACCAAAGTCACCGATGTATTGCAAAAATTATTAAAGTTGAAATGGGAATACGCTGGACATGTAGCTAGGAGCGATCTAAACAAATGGCACAGATCAGTTTTAACCTGGAAACCATACCAACATAAAAGACCCAGAGGCAGACCTCCTATGAGATGGACAGATGATCTGAAAAGGACTGCCGGGAAAAATTGGCTACAGTAGCGTACAATAAAAAACAATGGAAAGGAAGACTTGAAGAGGCTTATGTTCAGATGTTGACGTGAATGATGTTGACGTGATTGTTCTCATATGATGATATTGTATACACTTATACAAGAAAAATTACCTTTAGGAATACATGAACTGCACGATGCATTATTTAGAGTTGAACTAATAAATACAAGCCAACGTCATGCTACTGTTTTAGACAAGATACGACAAGTCTAGACCGTATATCCGTACACGTGGCGTAGAATAAAAAAATGCTTTTTCAGGCCACGTGTAAATTTTTCGTACACTTGTCAAACTACAAAATATATAATTAAATTATTTATACAATGTATTTAAGCTATGTTGATAAACAATTTTAAATACATTTTTATAAAAAAATTACTATGGCTTACAGGACCCTTATGGAGAAGTTAATGTGGCAGTCATAGTGTTAAAGTTACTCATAAATGTTTTCTCTGAATTATATGTGTAGTTTCTTAATAATAACTTACTATAGATAAATTCACATTCAGATGGCAGCGTTACAGAGATAGGCCTGTACTTTCTATATGCCAGAAATAACTACATTGTTGTCAGTTTTTAATCGTACCTACAATCGTACGTTATGGGCCGGCTCCTATAAAAGAATTATAATTTCGGAAATATTTATGAATGTGAAACGGAAAAATACTACATTTTTTTAATTATATAATTTTTCTGTTGGTATTTTAAAAATAGAAAGTTATATTTCGGAAATCTGGTCTTTTCGGAATTATATCTTCTGTTCAAAATTGTTTACAATTCGTGGAAATGAAATAATTATTTGTATAATCCGTTTTTGATCTTAATGTCCTTTTAATGACGCACTTTCTCTACCTGCATTTACAGTTCAGACATTAAAAAATAATTTAGAATTAAAAAAATATACCTATTTATAAATTCAAAATTATTGTCTAATGCCAGCAATTATAAATTCAGGTAAATACTTGAGAGTCATTAAAAGAATTTTCAGTTGATATCAGACGTTTGTGTCGTGTAAGTGTCAAAATAGCCGCGAGTGTAATAAAATTCAAAAACGGTAATTTGTTAAATAGTGAATGCAAAAAATAGTGTTAAATGTTTTTAACTATTTATCAAACAGTAATAATGATAAAAGTGTATCAACAATAGTGCGGGAAGTTTCTGCTATGACTGGAGTCTCTGAGCGAACGATATTCCGATATAGAAGTGAAAGTAAAAATGGTCCACTCGTAACTCCTATAAGAAAAAAAAGAACCGGTTATTTGAATAGTCGTGAGAATAGATATGATGAAGCAACTCGGTCTAGAATAAGACAAGTAGTGCACGGTTTTTTTATGCACAATATTCCTCCAACCCTTGACGTAGTACTAGAAAAAATTAAGCAAATGGAGCATCTTCCGAATGTTTCCAAGAGTACGTTGAGAAGACTATTGCACGACATGGGTTTTATATATGGCAAACAAGGTAGAAA